TGAACCAAAAAGCCAGTGAACTGTGCTGTACGGTGGTGTCGTAATTCGAAACAAAAGTAGGGTTACCGTATTCTAAAAGTTAATTCTAGGGCATAAAATTTTAAAAATCCGGACAAAACCGGACACTTTGATACAAAAAAGTTACGAGTACTTATGAAAAAATCTATTGCAGAAAAAACAACATAAAATTCTTTAGTTAAAAGTGTCACCACTTAAATCTAGTTGTCGAAGTAACCCGGACAGAAATATAAAAATCCGGCCGGACCTCCCCGGACAGTGGAAAAACCAGAACATGTCCGTAAAAATCCGGACGTATCGTAACCCTAAACAAAAGAGTAGTGGTCAAGAAAGTATTTCATTTCATCGACAACACCTTACTATTCCAAATAAACTTGTTAAGATTCGTGTTTTTATAACTTTGAAGTTGTTGAGATTTTAAATTTGGCGCGATTTTGGGACTAAGCAATATGGCGACTGCCGGCTTCAAGTTTTAGGCCACATAGCCGGTCTATACATATTTAAAGTCTCTGCTGCAGGTAGTAAAGAAATAGTGGAGTGGTGGATTTTCATATTTAGTGAAAGCCGTCCCTGAACGAAACCACAAGAGCCGGTCCAGCTGCAGTGGACACGTTATTTACGACCCTAAAACCCTTTCTATTGTAAACAACTTAACTTCGACACAATGGGATGATTTTATGATGGCCATATAACCTTATAGCTCTTGGTTTACTATAAAGAAATAGTGGAGTGGTGGATTTTCATATTTAGTGAAAGCCGCCCCTGAACGAAACCACAAGAGCCGGTCGAGCTGCAGTGGACACGTTATTTACGACCTTAAAACCTTTTCTATTATAAACAACGTAACTTCGACACAATGGGATGATTTTGTGATGGCCATATAACCTTATAGCTCTTGGTCCATTATATTTGTTATTTAATGGAGTCAAGGTGTGGCGGCACAATAGCACGTTGGTAAGCAGTGAAAGATAAGTGGCCTCGTGGTCTAGTGGTTAGGATACTTGCCCGGAGAGCGTGAGGCGTGGGGTTCGATCCCACCGAGGCACAACGTTTTTCTCTACTTACCTACACAAGGTTTCCTTAAATATCTCAAACATTTTTAAATTTGGACTTAAATTTAAACTACTTGGATGACGACGAACATTTCAACAACATACTATCATAACCTCAAAATTTTGAATACAGCTTAGAACAAATATGTTTTATGGTACGATTTTACATTTATATTTTAGGCTGCAGTTGTTATCATGGAATTAGTAATATTATTCGTTAAAGAAATTTCTAAAAATTAAATTTATTTGATTAGGTAATTTAAATTTAATTCTAAAATTTCTAAATTTCTGCTCTTTCTAACAAAAACTAATATCAATCACATCAAACATCTGAAAAAGGTAATTAAAAAAAATAAGTTAAACAATTAAATGAATCCTTTTTTATTGACTAACATCTTTAGTTATCAGTTAGCGCTTATCAATCTTATCACACAATATTTGCCAAATTTGACTTTTACGATTTGGAGAATTTGAATTACTTCTTCAAAATCTATATACTGTTCCAAAATAAACCCATACACCGCCCCGGTACGACGCCTATGGGCCGTCGAGAGCTTTCTAGTATGTGCGACGATGATGAGTGACTCATCATCGGTGACGGTGGCCGGGCGGCGTTCCATAAAGACAAGTCTGAAGCGGGTTACCGGAAGTATCGATTGCGGGGTCCAGAAAAACCTCGAAGCGGCATTTTCGATCTATCCAGAGGAACGTATAGGTTTCAATAGAAGCCACCGTCGGGAACGATTATTATTCAGTCGAATCGAGTCCAGCGAATATTGAGAGAAACCAGCCAAGTTGGGCCGGAATTATTTTGTGTAATTAGACGGGTAAATTTGAGTTACTAAGAAATAAATTGTTGAGTTTTAGCCACGCCGATTTCAATTACCGATCATCGTAACAATACATTAGCGGTTTATTCTAACATAGAGAATTTAAAAACCATGGCCAAGATTGAAACATACCTAAAGTCCAGGCTACTTCTATCTGTCGACTCCACGTTGTAAATTTTGGAAAATTGTTGGGTATAAGGTGTTTTTTTGGGACTTCAGGGAAAAATGAGGAAAAATACAAATTTTTAACACGCTAATTGCAATGTAAAACATCCAAAAAAGATGACTTCATCTTCAAATTTGTTACGTAAATTTCACCCGTGTTACCCATGGTTTAAGAATATACCTTACACCCATATTTTTAATCCTACCACTTCTGTGAAGAAAAAAGTAAAATCAAATTTTGTAATTTATCATGAAACCTAAGTATATACATAGTGAGATTAGAGTTTGTTAAAAATATGATATGAAAATTCAGTTCTCCTAAAATACTTTTTGAAAACTTTGGTGTCAAATACAAGCGAAAGCGAGGAAAATTTTTTTCCAAGGACATTCCTTATTTAGTATCTTCAATTCATCATATTAAATGATTAAATGGCGTCTGCTGAAAAATATAATCAAGTTTTAAAAATGGTATTAATTCAAAACGCGTTCAGAAATAGCAAAAAGCTCACTTTTGACAAATAAATTACATATTTTTCTTGAATATCAGAAGGCAAGTGTTCAAAACTTTTATAGTCGGGTTAAATACTTATAAGTGAACTACGGACAATATTCATTTCCTTTGTAAGGAGGTTTCAGAAAATCATAACCGGCGTTATTCTTATGTCATCTCCATCACATCCACTCGTATCACAGTGATCACACCACTGTTTATAAATTTGTGGCATACGCAAGTTCAGTACCCATCAGTTATATTTAGTTTTAACTCTTAAATTTTTTTCAGTTTTAATGTATATGTTTTTGCAGTGTCAGTATTTGCTGCTGTACATATCTCCAGTATCCACCACTTAATTGCAATGCACAAAGAAATGTTCACGTTTCAAAGATGCTGACGTAAGGGATGTGTGCGCGTGGCGCACGTATACCTTGACATTTCAAGCAAATGCATGTTTAATTTGATGAAAGATGATTCCAGTGTGATCATCAAATTCACCTTCCACAACATAATATTATGTGTTATATAATCTGTTATTATCTATTTAAATTTAAAAATTTTAAAAGTAGAGCTCTTCAGTTATAGGTGTTCCATTTTACCCTACGTTTCCCTACATTGATATAATTTACATTGTACTGTTACTACTAGCCACCTGTATCAATTTATGACAAATTTTACCTTTGAATAATGCCGCTGTAGCATATAAAATCAATTAAAATTCATTCAATTAATTACATGTTCACTGCACTGCGAGAAATGGAAAAAATGTTAACTTCATGGGTGCTTGACCATGAAGCTGAAGTAGTGGAAACCACAATGATATCATCCGATATTACTTTCATGTAAAAATAAAATGGACATTGGGCACAACAAGATTTTTCTGGAGACAACTAATTTAAAATGTGGTAAGATCTATTACCAAAACCTTTTTGTAAAAAGACACCTTCATTTGAAAATCGTAAAAATGCATTGTGATTTTATTGTTGTTTTTACTTGATTTTGAAATAATAAATATTAATGCTTGAATAATGGGTGAATTGTGTCGAGCTTAATCGTAAAGTTTAGCCTACTGAAAAAAAACTGTCTGCACAGCAGCTGTGAATTCGCACTACCTTCAGTAACATCAAGTTGAACAATACGATTTTTCACAGCTATGCTCGTCAAGAATTAACACAAAAATGCCTCAACCGTAACATTGACAAACAAACATGAAATAATTGTCCCATCCTAAAAGAATTTTTGGGGAAATCTAAATTAACCGTCAAAAAAACGTCATTACCACTGTCCTATAAAGTTCTCACTCTCACTTTTAACTAACAATAAACTAATTTACCGCTAATAACATTTACAATAAAGGAATTTTATAAGTGAATTTCCTACGTTTCTATTTATTAAAAACTTGCAATTTATACAGAAAGATGCATTGAAAAAGTGTTGGACCGTCAAACGATAGACAAAAAAACTGCAAGGTGTACAGCAAAGCTTTGTCACCTGTATTTTTAATTGATATTATTTAAAAACGATGAAAGTCAGTTACTTTTATACAACAAAGTATTTCTCAGATATAGTAAAGAGATTCAAAAATATAAACAGGAAATTATTCATCAGGAAAGTGCAACCTGGATAATATAATTACTTGATGTTTACTGTTAGGTTCATTTATTATGTGTTTAGTATAATGGCAGGTTACTCATTGCGATTTCCGTCGTACCACTAAAACCTTTAAACATTTTTTTATTTATAAATATGTAAGTACTTTAATTTAAATGAAAATGTGCACTGTTGGAAGTGTGCAATTTTTGTTGACCCAGGACTTCTGACTGCTTATAAATCATTCAACCATTTATAAAGCCATTAAAAAGTAATCAGTCTCCACAATCTACATAAGTGAAAATGCGTTACTGTATACACTCATATGATGTTATTAACTAAAGAATTAATTAATTACTTTAGGTGTTTGTGTTCTTTATGAGTAAACAGTAAGCGCACATGAATAAATAATATGCAAATATTTCGAATGTACTTAGTTGAACTTACGGAATTTTAAATCACTCAGCTAATAGTGAATCCCTTTTGTGAACTCTAAAATTATTGTAATGAAAATATTTTTAACTAACTGAGCATATTTTTAGAAAAACATAACTCTTATAAAAAAAAAAGTCATCTAGTAAGCTATGAAATTTATTTTTACAATAATGATGCATTGCAGCTTTTTGACGTCTTATCGGACACTTATCTGATGACAACTGTCATCATGTTGTGTGTTATATGCAACTTATATACAACATAGATGTCCATTCCCTTCTCTTTGCGGATGATTTGAAGATTTATACTGTAGTCAATTCATTTCATGATTCTCTTCGGCTTCAAAAATGTCTTGACAGAGTTTACAGATGGTGTTTGAATAACAATTTAATGATTAATAAAACTAAATGCTATGCCATGTCATTCACCAAAAAAGAAAAACCCATTATTTACAGATACAGCTTTGATAACACCGTTCTTACTAGGCCTGAAGTTATACGCGATCTTGGGGTAGTCTTCGACTCAAAACTTTCATTCAGTCAACATATTCAGGCAATAACTGAGTCTGCTTTCAAATCCTTAGGCTTTGTCATCCGGAATGGTCGGGAGTTTGGTGATATTGAAACACTGAAATTACTCTATTTCACTTACTATAGATCTTGTCTTGAATACGCCTCTGTCATATGGAGTCCTGTATATAATATCCACATTTCTTCCCTTGAAAGAATACAAAGACGTTTTCTTAAGACGGTGTCCTACATAGTCGATGGCGTTTATCCCCTGAGAGGTTATCCTCAGGATTTACTTCTGGGTAGATTCAAAATTCCATCTTTGCTAAATAGACGTAGAGAGCACTCGGTAATAACTTTATTTAAAATTGTCAAAGGACTGCAAGAGTGTCCTGATATACTTTGCAATTTATCACTTAAGATCAACAAAGGGAACATGCGTAGTAAAAATTCTTTCTATTTGCCCACTGTACGCACTATCAGTAGAGCAAATTCTCCACTTGTTCAAATGGTTGTTAATTATATGGGCATCGAGAATCAAGTCGATCTATTTAACTGCACTTTAGGTCAGATTAAAAGATACTACCAAACAGAGCCAAGTTGAAGTTATGCTTAAAATATTTGTACAACGTTTCTGTGTCCTGTAATTGGGTTCCCCACCCGTGGACACTATGCATTAATAATAATAATAATAATAATAATAATAATAATAATAATAATAACTTATTTTATTAAACAAAACTTCCCATATATTTTAGATGTTCTGGCTAATTTCTTCTTAGGCTTCACAAGTACATTTTTAATTTTATTTTTCACATTCCGATGTGATGTTGCCAAATTATTCCAATTTTCCTGAATTTTTTTAATAATACAGATGTTCACAAAACAAATTCAAACTATAATCTTCAAATAATCATACCTAACTTTTTTAAACAGAACATAATGTATTTTTAGTAATATTTCGAAAAACGCGCACCAAAATATTGAGCGAAAGAGATAAAAAACCATCGTAAAAAGATTGGTTGAAAGTTATGTCGACAGAACTTTCCTAGTCCCTAAAGTACAGTTGAACAAATACAACTTCGAAAAATTATTATCAACTTTAACTTTGGGAATTCTTTTTTTTTTTCATCTTTATAGTCAGCTCTTCCATATATTTTTTTTATAACGCCATTACAATTTAGCAAGGGCACATATATCAATTTAGTATTAATATACTCCTTAGAGTTTTGGCACCCTTGGAATCCTCGAAATCTTTAAAATTTACTGAAGATTTTGAACCAACACAGTATTTGGAATATTTTTATAAATTCAGTAAAATGTTTAGAATTTCTAGAATTGAGTAAATTTTTTAAATTTCCAGATTTTCTAAGTGTTATAAAAATATCAGTCTTCGGATATGCTAGAATTCAACATTTTCTTCATTTTTCAAGATTTCTAGGTCTTAAAATTTGTTCACACTTTCTAGATATTTCTGGATTTTCTAAAATTAATACACCTCAAGAGTCTTTAAATCTTTGAAATTTTTAGAATCTCTGGAATCTCTAGGATCTCTAAGAAGTATAAGATAACAATTAGGGTGTTCAAAACCCCAAATACTTGTAGGATTTATAAAAATTAAAGGAAGCATTCTTCAGATTTTTACGATTTCTAGATTTTTAGAATTTTTGTCATGTTAAGAATTCATGCGTTTTTTACAAATTATAGAATCTTTTAAATATTTGGAGCATAATTTTAAAACCGTTTTAACGTTTGATTTCTTATTAGAGTGTTTAGAATCTTTAGAGTTTTCAGAGTCCTTAGAGTCTTAACAATCTTTGGAAATTTGGATACTTCAGAATTACTAGAAATTTTATACATTTTAGAATTTTTATACATAATTTCTAAGAACTTAATACTTCCAAGATCTTTTCGTAATTTTCAAAATTTTCAAAATTTCCAGAATGTTCAAATTTTCCAGATTTTCCGAAGTACACAAAATAACCAAAATTATACTTCCATTTTCCAAAATTTCTAAAATTATCAGGCTCCAGTTATACCAGAATTTTAAAATTCAACCTTTTCCAATGTTTTCAAGATTTCTAAGTCTACCACATTTTCCCCACACTTTCTAAATTTTATTTGCAGATCTCAAGAGTCTAAATCTTTGGAATTTTTGGAATCTCTGGAATCTTTACAGTCTCTAAGGTTTATAAGATAATATTTAGGGTGTTCAAGACCTTCAGTGCTTTTAGGATTTATAAAAATTAAAGAAAGCATTTTTCCGATCTTTACGATTTTTAGGTCTTCAAGATTTTTGTTTTCTTTAAAATCTTTGGCATTTTAAGAGTTCACGCGATTTTTACAAGTTTTGGAATCTTTGGCTTTTTAGAATTTCTCTAGAACCTTTAGAATCTTTCAATTATTCGAAACAAAATTTTAGCTTTTGACCGCTTAGAGTCCTTAGAGTCTTTTAAAATCTTTAGTCTTTAGAGTATTTAGTTTTTAGCCTCCTTAGACTGTTTCCAATCTCTGGAAATTTTGAACACTTTGGAAAGTGCTAGGAGTTTTATAAAGCCTAAAATTCCTGCAATTTCTAGGATCGTTAGTACCCCCACGTTCTTTAAAATTTTTAAGATTTTGTTGGATCTTTTGTATATTTAAAACATTACAACTTTAATTGATTTAGAACCTTAAGTGTCTTTACAATACTTAATTTCTAGTGTATGTAATACGTGAAAGCTTTTATACTTTTTGAATGTTTCAAACCACTTTGGAATTTTTAGAACCTCTAGAATCTAGAATCACTAGAATTTCTATAATCTTTATAGTTTTCAGATTTTCGTTATTTTTAGATACTTCAGTATCTCTAGAATTTTAAATATTTTTAGATCTTTCGGATTTTTATCATCTTTCCAATTTTTAAATGTTTGGAATCTGTGGAATCTTTGGAATTTTTGACATCCCTGAAATCTCTTTAGAATTTTTAAATTGCCAGCTTCTCTATCTTTTTTTTTTAATTTTTTGAAATTCCTGAAATTCTTGTAGTCCTTATAGTTTTTGGCATCCTTGAAAGCCTTAAAACCTTCGAAAGGGTTAGAATATTTAGTACTTTCACAACATTTGAAATCATTCCACAAATTTGTGCAGAATTTTAGAATTTCTGTAATTCCTAGAATTAACATTGTGCATATTTTACATTTATTCGGCAAAATTGTAAGATGGCGTCATCGAAACAAGAGACCTATATTTTCGTATTCTAGGGATCATGAAACGTCAATTTTTCGGGAAAACGGAGTGAGCCGTTCTCTATTTAATCAATAAAATAAATTGACTCATTCATTAATTTTTGAGTCACCTGTATAAGAAATTTAAAAACTTTTAATGCAATGATAAATCACAAGTATAGACTCATCATATTTTGCACATTTTGGATAGGTAAAATTTTGAGATGACGTCATCAATTTGTTGGAATGGGCTAATCGAATAAATTTTGCTATAACCTTAAAATAATTACAAGATTTCAGAGCAGTCGGTTTTGCAGTTTCAATGTTCTATTGCAAAATGTTATTCAGTTTAGAATTTTTTCTTACTATACATACAAAAAACGAGAACAATCGGTCTAGTAGTTTCGGAGAATACTTGTCTAATAAAAATGGATACAGACACCAAACAGACAGACAGACAGAAACGGGAGACCACTTTTTTCGTACTCTAGACTAGAGGTCATGACACGTCGAGAAAATATGAAGGTTGCAATTCGGCCGATGGACTCTATTACTATACTTCCTTACGCTCAGGAAGAAAAAATATAAAATTTATATTACCAAAATGTAAAATTTGATTTTATTTATTTTATGATAACCCCAGATAATATCAGAGTGTACAAAAAAAATTGGTCCATGAGAATATATAAGTAGCGAGCTTTGCGTTATTAGCAGTGGCGGCTTGTGGCCTTGTGACCCCTGCCACCAGCCACCCTTGGTTATTAGTTGGGTGCGATTTCCACTACTTATAAAATTTATTATATAATTTGAATTTTTTGGTGGGAAAACTTGGATGCCTCTAGGACAAAAACTCAAGGCTATTTCATAAACAACATGTGTACAGGACACGAGTGTGTTATAGTTAGTATAACATTTAAATGGTGTTTACTAAGCTAAATTTTGAACTGACGTCATCAAATTGTTGGTGGGAATGATTAGACACATTTTGGTTAGCTTTTCCATCTACACGACATACCTAAGACAGGCAGATGACAGACCGACGGAAACCTGAGACCCGTTTTTTGAGGAACGTCGAAAAAACATAAAGTAGCGATTCCCTGCATGGACCCTATTTACAATATTTCCTTTGCTTGTAAAAGCGGGATGTAAAAGCACAGGTGTCCTATTACTTTTTAACACAAGGGCGATCTTTTTTTTTATTATTTTTTAAGTCGAATGAAATATCAAAGTGGTATTCATTTGTGGATGTTTCGACCTTCATTAACCTTCTTCAGAACAAAGCAATAAGATTAGAATGAAGACGAAGTAGTACTGGTTTAACTTTTATGGTAAAACACAAGTTACATATGTTTAAGTGTGAATCGCTGCCCATTCAGATAAAACATAGTAATAGTAGACAGACTGATACAAAATAGTAAGTAAATGTTGCAAAAACTCACCACTGGGATTTTACGTTGCCAATACAATAAATTGCAGCAAATCGACCTTATTACTCTACTTTCACGAACATACAAAAACAACAAGAGACTTTTACTCTTTAATAATTTTATGATCTTGTAAAAATACGTTTGTAAGTAATTAGTATAAAAATCGTAATTATTATGAACTGCATAAATTAAAATAAAACCTGGAAATAATTACATAATAGTATGACGCAAAAATTATTTACATTAACATACACGTTTATTTTACGAAAAATATTAATAGACAATCAAATCATTTTAAAATTACTTTTGTTATTTCAGATACAAAAATACTAAAATATAAACATATCCAAACATAACGCAATCGTTTTGTTTATTATGAACTGACCTACATATAAATTAATAACATTTGCATTTAAACTTCATTTTGATTAAAAAATCTATTTACATTGCAGTAATTCAAATTGCACTAATTCTATTCTTCCACAACAATTGAAACGAAATATTGAGCAAAGATAATTTACATTACTCTTTTGAAACCTTTTAAAATGAACAAAGCGAAAAAGAAACAGTGACATGCAAATAATTTCAAATTACCCGAATAAAAATGGAGAGTGCAAAGAATAATTAAAGCTTGAATAAAATAACAAAAAATGTTCCTTAAAAACAATTAAGCGCACACTCCAAAGTCATAACGCGATTTGCGGATTTCTACACATTCAAGTTAATTTTTACAACGTAATTAGACATACGGACGTAATTTTTCATCACCACCGCATCACTATTTTTAATATATCACAAATCCCATAAAATACAAAAAACGTGTAGGTTAAGGTTACGTTACTCAAGTTTACGAAAATAAATTAGCATAAAATTTCCAGCACAGTAATTTTAATTTCTTCCAATTAGGTACGAACAAAGAACCTCTCGCTTCCATTCGCTGTGAGATTAATTATTTCATTCAAAATATTTATGATATTGCATAACTTTTTTGTATTTTTACCTCTTTATTGTAGATGAAAGTTGGTGAAACAGAAACTGGTATTTATTTTCGTTTCCATAAAGTGTAAAATTGTAGCTGATCTTAAAAACTAGATTACTGCAATAAAAATGTGAAAAGTCAAACATAAACACAATTTCCGGTTAATTTTTTGTACGCAATTTTTACACAATATTTCAGCTTTAAAGTTTTTTAACACTAGGCAAATAAATTTCTAATCGATATTGCATCCATTCAAAACCAACACGATTTTTACTGAATATGGTCTATTCAATTAGAATTCTATGCTTACGCAACTGCTGTCGGACCCGTTGGTACACGAATTTTGTTTTCCCATTAAAGGTAATCGCATTTCATACCTGTACGAGTTTGTTGATACCGTTTACAGTTTTTCTCTGATGGTCTATTTTTTAACTTTCTTTCAATGACGATAATTCCAACAGAATTTCACCTTCAATGATGGTTTATGAGGAGGTATTGATTTATCTGTTGATATCAAGTTTTCTTGGTTCCTAACATTAAAATTCACATTTCCGTACATACACCGACTTTCTACTATGAATAAATGAATCCAAATTGAGAGTAATTTACAAGGTGATTAAAAAAAAATAAACAAACAACGAATTTGTAATTACGATACAAAAAATTGATCGTGCAGAGCTGAAAAAATAGAAACACTGAACAAAGAAATCATTAAAGTCGTTATTTTAATATGCAAAACACGAATATTCAAATATTAATATTGCATTATAATCAGATATTTTTGCGTCGGAATTAACATTTTGTCTGACTTTATCTACTAACTCATTTTGAAAATTTTAATATTACACTATTATGCTATTAAAATTAATTCTTGCAAAAATTCAACACATGTAATATTATGTGAAAGTTTTCTATGTGACATCAAATAATTTATTTTATTGAGGTTCCATTTAACTATAGCATGAGATTGTCTCCACCTCTTTGTATCGCATTGATTATGGCAATTTATTTAAGATGAGTATGTGGCAATAGAATGTAAATAAAACTTTTTCACTTTCATGTATGTGTTAACATCGTCGAACTGAAAAATGTTCCTCAGTTAATCGTAAAAATGTACCAGGTAAAAATGCAAAAGGTAAAAATTGTCACAATGCCGACACAAAAGAAAACGAAATTGCCCGAACATTTTTCAGACGGCGTACGAAAATCTGCGCGGGAGAAATGGTAAACTATATAAGAGCTTAGAAAGGAGGATTATGTTTATATTTATTGTAGTAGTTTCAAAGTGAAATAGTGTTTGGTGTTTACATTAGCAATGGCTTTTCTAAATAAAGTGGTAAGTTGGATGATTACCATGTTATTTAAAAAAATACTGGTTTTCTGTACACAAGGGGTGTAATTATTTTAATTTTCAATACAAGCGTTTATCGTCATTACGTATATTTACACTGTTTCGTACGATCATTGCATGACTTTTTTTAAACAAAAGTCACCTTTACGTAACTTGTTTTAAAAACGGGAATTTTGGAAAAGGATGTAAATTTTTTAACACAAAGCGGAATTAACGTTTGATGTAATAATTGTAACAATCAACAGGAAATAAAATGTGTCGTTTTTTGTGTTGACGGTATCAGAGCACAATAGATATGTGAGTGAAATTGTTCAATCATGCTTTAAATGACTAAGAAGTTTTTCAAAAATCGTGACTATTATTACAGAAAAGACAAAAACCAAGTTAGGTAACTAGAAATGAATTGTTAATATGCGACAAAAAATAGGAATTTACTTATTTTATTTTTTACTTTAGTTTCTCTATTAAGTTGTCGAAGTAGTGTATTTACAACGTCTGTGCTTGTTTAAAGCAACTGCGTTTCATAATTAGCAACTCATTAAGTAGTTTTTTCTAAAATTCGAAAAAAGCAAATGTTAAGTAATCAGTTAATCACGTCTGAGGGGTGGGATTTTGTTTCTTGAACGAAGTGATAAATTTTCACTTGCGATAAATGTCATTGCGTGGCTTTTAAATGAAAAGTTGGCATTTATTCTTTGCATATAAGCTTATTAAATGCTCAAAAGTTTACAATTACCTTAATTTTAAGAACATATAACTCAGAATTACGATTTTGAACTTCTATTTTGACATAAATTTCGAGGTTATGTCTCCAAAATTTATCACTTCATTCAGAGTTACCGAGAAAATATCACTCCATGAAGACTTGATTTCGTGACAGAATCGAGAAATGTGACACAAATGTCGCACCAACTCAGCCTCTCAACCAATCAGCAAACGAGATTTTATCGCTATCGAGTTTTTTTCGATCGAGAAACAAAATCGCACCCCTGATCTTAATTTAATACCAGGAAACGAGCCAACTTAATAAAACCAGTTAAATGATGGCCAATGTCAAACACTTTCGTTTTTTCAGACAGAGTTATTTTATCACCCACTTTCTCCCATTAATAACCAAATAAATTATCTCAAATTGTATCACAAAAAAACGACGCATTTTATTTGTTGCTTTTTGTTCACTGATGGTTAACCAAAGATCTAATTTCAAGGCCTCTCTAGTTTTCCACGCGATATCATATTAACTGGGGAAAAAATTCCACAGGTAAATATCTACAACTTTTTGCGATAAAAATTAAGTGGAAGAATTTCGCGATCTACCTCAAGACCTCTTTCGGTAACGACACAACAAAAGGTAACCGCAAGGTCAATAAATAATTTTAATTGCAAAGCACCATAGTTTAATGAAGGAGGTATTAACATAATTACGGTGACTTATGGCGATGGTTAAGATGAATGTTTTTATTTTTCATCTATTATTCCTAACACGAGTTGAAGATGTGGAAGGAACTCTAAATCTGAGATTATTAACACGTGGTCATTAAAAACAACGTTATAATATTTTCCTACGCCTAAAGCGGTATGTTCATAGTACGCACAAACATCTATAGAAATTTTATAGCATATGGATCATAATCGCCTAAGCAAAATAGGTGCAAATGGAATCAATTAACTCTTATGCTTTCACTAATATTTAATTTTGTTTGTATTTTGAAACCGTTTATGTTTATGTCAACCAACTGAATATAAATTTAGTAGGAAGAGTAATTTTTTGTAGATAGTAAAAATTACATTTGAGTAAAAGAACTCACTTAAAGATCCTATAGGTACTTTGTTTTATGTTCGTAGGTGACATTAACTTAAACTATATCGCAATATTAATAATAATGATCTATTTCATATAACTGCGATAGACAGCGTTTTTTTTTTTAAATACTGCAAAAACCTTTACATATATATGTCTCTTGATGCCTGCGTCACAAACAAACACATTATTTTTAGTCTACCACTGTACTCGATTTACATAAATAAATAATGTTTGTCGTGATCAGATGCGGTTTCTGTCTGCAATAATTTAGTCAACTCGAGTTCGTTTCATGTGTAGAGTTCATTTTTCTCCGAAAGTGAAATTTGTAACGGGCGTAGCTTAATTTAAATAAGCACACCCTGCGCTTATAAAGAAAAAGTAAAACACTTTGGGCCAGTTTTAAAAAACATGACATACACTGGCCACAAAACATCTGTTGATCATAAGAACCGGTTTTAATTGTTTTCAGTTCAGTGATTTAAATAGTAACGCGAAAGAATTACTTACACTTTTCTAGTTCCTAATCTCTCTTCCCGGCATTTTTAATTCACGCATTGAATTTTATGTATTAGATCAGCTTACCGTAACGGCGTTTTAACGAAATGGGGAGAAAGTAATAATCTACCTCAAGTTCACTGCTAGAGAAATGTACTGTTTATTTAAAAAAAGTGAAAGGTTGTCTCGATCTGATCGAAAATGAAAGCAAATCCACGAATGTGTCCCTTACTAATCGTACCGAATTTTGTAACAGATAATGTTTTTTTATTTTAAAAGCGATTTCGCAAACGTCGCGACTTTTGACCTAGTAATTTATTAGATGGGTGTTGTGTGGGCGTTGGTTGAAGACAATTCATTATAACCAGGTCGTGTTGCCCTTTTCTTTTATGATCGTTTGTCTTGTTATTTGCAACGTGTTGTTATATAAGAGATTGCAAAGTTTATGTCCTAAAATTAAATAGGCCTTCACGTTATCTTCATAAAAGAACATCGCTTTTTGAATATCAACGGTTTGTTTAATTACACAACTCACTTAGTAAGTGCTAATAAAAAAAGAAAGTTTTATTAGGAAGGAAATCGGCAGTGAGTACTTAGCGATAGACGCGGAAATAGTTGCGATAACGTAAAAAGGCGTTACTGTGTAAATATTAAAAATATTTTCACTTTCCAGGTATCCTGCGTCGCTATTATTTCAATAGCGACAGCTTTACCATCCACGAAAAGTCCATACCAAACCGAAGAAATCGAAGACAGCTACAACCCCCAAAGTTACTCAGAACAGCCAAAATATGAAGCTTTCGCCTTACCAACAAACCTTCAATTACCAAAAACCGAAGCGTCGCAAGTTCCTTTCTACGTCCCTGATTTAAACACTGCTTTGAAAACTCCGCAATACAACGCAGAACCCAACTACTACCAAGTACCCGTTCCCTCTCAAGACTTAGTGGCGCCCGCAGAAAAAGCATGGAACCCAAACAACGACCCTAAATTCTTCTACGAAGTTCCCGCCTCCTTGACCCAGCAGAACATCCCAACCAACTTCTATCCCAAAAAATTCAACAAAGAAATCCACATTAAAAGCAAACCCTATTCCAGCAAACCCAAACAAGAGATCGTGCTGCGCCCCATCGACGAAAAACAGTTCATCGTTAAACAGAAAGCTTTGAGCAAGGCTTACGACAGTCTTGCTAAAAAAGAAAACCAGAAGGAACTCCAGGTACCACAGTACTTTGCTCAACCTAAGGTTGATACAGATTTTGCTAAATCATTTGAGACTGAAAGTGTTGCTCCACATGGAGGGTTCAGCAAGGGACCCAGCGCTGATTTAACTGCTTCTTTCGGGGCTTCTTCACCACTTACTCATTCTTCTTCTTCTTCTGCTCCTCATGGTGAACGTCACGAGTTTCATATGACAGGGCACGATGGACCCCACAGCTACAAGTGGGGTTTTGATACTGGCAAAGGGTAAACTTTCGCTTGGTGTTCTTTTGCTTAATGTCACTAAAGTTCATGTAATTTACATTTTACACTAACTAACAATCATGCTAAACATGCAATTTCTCTTTTAACTATATTATACATTTATATATTTGAAGAAATAACGCTATTACTGTGCAGATCTGATTGATTGTGCATGACATCATTTTTTAAATTCATACACCCACCAATCACATAATCTTTATCGAATGCGCGCGCATCTATCAAAACTTTGGGTTTTTCATGGTGAACTGTGGTGGAGTCTTTTTTACACTGCAACATTTTACGAATTCCATCTTGTTTGGAGTGGAACGGATTTAAACCAAAACTTTATTAAAACGAATAACGACTTCATGCATTTTAATATATTTCGCGTGCACAAAACACTAAAGCATGAATAATTTTACTTTTCTTCTGTTCTATTTATCGTGTTAAAATCATGACTCGTTGAAACTAATTGGTAGACAGAAACTTGTAGTTCTACATTTTCGTTTTTATGGAGTTGCTGATACTAATATACCTATATTAATATTTTCTCCCCTAATTATTGTGAAACACACAAAGTTGTTTAATTTAATCTGTACCGTATATTTTGCGACAAATGATAGAGGGACCACCTATACAGCAGATTATAAATGCAAATTAATTGACTTTAATAAACCTGACTCACATTTTAATTATTTCTCACCAGCTTTAAATTGAATATCATCCGTTTACCTTTGGTCTTGGTTTTCTAGTTCATCACGCTCTTAATAAAATTGCTATGGACTCATTTTACGGCCATTATCATTTCCAGTTTATGCTCACGACGTAATAAGCAAATTGGTTTCGTACCTGCTTGAAAGATTATTGTTCTCAAGACTAAACCTTGAAATCTACATTCCACAAGATATTTATTACAATAACTTTTGATCTAATCTCAATATTACTCCTACTAACAACATTTTTTATATTTTACCACGTGCGTCGTCACACGCAGAAAACACAATATTAATAAAAATAATTTAATGAATAAAATGACGCGCTAAATTTCATTACTGACCAGCTGAATTACGTGTCTTATACTTCGCACATGACTGCTTTATTAACTTCTCAAGCGTGTAAGTGACATGAATGGGGTCACCCCAGTTATTCTGTCATGACATATTGTGTTATAGTAATTCTCTTAATGTTTTGATTGCGCAAAATGTCTGTAGGAAAGACATCAGGAAGTGTAATTCAGTAACCTTGCACGAAACAGGTAATTACGTACTCACGTATTTTGTTGTTATTTACAGTCACAACAGGCAGTTCAGATATGAAGAAAGAGATAAGGAGGGGATTGTGAAGGGTCATTTCGGTTTCTTCGATAAACACGGAAAACTTCAAATGGTCAACTACGATGCACATCCCCATGATGGTTACCGCGCTGACGGAAACTTCGGCAAATTTTAATAAGTTTTAGCTAATTCGTTTTAAACTCGGCAAAATGCTCAAACGCTACTGTATTATACAAATCAATGTTTTATATTGGTTTTAGTCGTTTAGTTGTAGTTCTTGAGAGATGTTAGTTTTTGCTCTCTTGTTGTCTATTTTTTATTATGTGAAATATACGTTTTAATAATATTTGTCTTAATTTATTTCAGTCTCAGTTGTCATTCCTGAATTAATATTACAATACTATGTTTCCTGTTTTGGTCTACCTCAAATTCTAAATTTACCTAAACAGCACACAAAGGGCACTTATGAAATAGCTGTTTCAATACATTAAAACAAAGTAATGTGAAGTTCGTTTTAAATGTTAAAATTTAATGAAATTATTATGATAATAATAATGCATCATTAAATAAACTTAATATGTGATATGCAACCAACTATACACATACCTACAAACAAAGGCGTAATATTGGTCCTCTTGACATATTTATAATTATAAATGATATTAATCGTATCACAGACCTTTTTTTTATTGTTTACAATATTTTTATAACACAGTTTAGAAAATAAAAAAGAAAAAATAATTACCCCATATCACCCAACAGTAAATTCATATGAAACTGGGTAATACTTAGTGACATACTTGAATAAATTATATTCAATGTCTCCCAAAAGTCCCGATGCTCCGAAACGGAACAATTCGTTGTTCAACCATTCATTTCCCAAAATTTCTTTTATCATAATCAACCAAGAAATAGCGTCGTTTCCAGTTCTAATGCCACCAGCAGGTTTTAAACCCACCTTAAAAGCAACAGTCAACATTTACATGTCATTTTATGTAAAGATGGTTTTATTTAAGTTACCTTGTAATTAAACTTGTCATAATACTCCCTTATGGCTCTGCTCATTACAATACCAAAAGTTAGAGTAGCATTAATACTTTCTTTTCCAGTTGAAGTTTTTATAAAATCTGAACCTGCCATCATTGCAACAAGGGACGCTTTATAGACCTGATAAAAATGAATTATGATTTTTCTTTTGATTATAATTTGACATACATTATTCAAAGTCCCTAATTCTCCAGTGGCTAAAATCGCCTTCATGTGAGCCTTAGGTCCACAAGCTTCCTTCATTTGTTGAATTTCTTGGTATAGCAGTTCCCACTGGCCTGTGAGAACCAAACTTCGGTCAATAACTATATCAATCTCTGTGGCGCCTTTCTCAACAGCATATCTAATTTCTTCAAGGCGAGTTTTTAAAGGCATTTGTCCACTGGGGAAGCCTGTAGCCACTGAAATTGTATTAAAAACATAAGAATGGTATGGCACTTCTCACACTTGTGTAATTACCTGAAGCAACGTTAATTTTATCTAAAAGATTTAATTTTGTTAACATCTTCACTGCATCTTCAACTCTTGATGGGTAAACACATACTGCTGCTGTTCTTATTGGACAATCTGAACCATATTCAAACCCAAGTTCATTTAGTAAATCTTCAGGTAAAGGTTTTGCAGCCTATGACCAAACAATTATACAGTAGTTTTGGAGGAATTATAAAATACCTTGAGGCAGAGTCTCGACACGTTACTGGCGGTATCATCCCCTGCTAAAGTGGTTAAGTCAATGCAAGTAATTGCTCTTAATAACCACGCTGCTCTATGTTCATTTTTTAGTTCTCTTGAGTTAAGAAGGTCTGTTACTGCTGCATTCACTGCATTCAGGTTTATATTTACATTATTTAACCAGCCCAAATCTGAAAGAAATATCATAAAAACTTTGCCTCAATCTAATAGTATTAATATACCTAATTCACAACCGGGATTTCTCTCAATCATTTTTTGCTTAAGCTCAATATTGGACATAAGTAATCACAATTTCCAGTCTTACGTTATAAAAATATCGGTATTTGATAACATATCAAGCAAATGTGAAATAAACAGATAACAGCAGTTCTTAAACTACATAAAGATAACGACGTTGTGATAATATTACTTATAAAAATAATCGGTTTCCTGTTACTTGACAATTAACATAACCTAATAACACAAATATGTCAATCACACATGTCAATCAAAACATGTCACGAGTGCCCTTAGGAAACTATTTATGTGGTACAACCAGGTCGACCAAAATTGCACGTGATACATCCAGGACATGCGAGGATGTAAATTCTGATAGGTATAATATTTTGCTACATTTTGATAAAGTGACATTTCACTAATTGCGTTGGAGTAATTTAAACACTTAAAATCAAAAGAGGCATCACACATCAGTGATTCCTATTAAAAACGAATGTCTTTTTGCGTATGTATGTAACAAATTTGCTATGGTTCTTGATAACCTATTATGATTCAGTAAAATGAATTATATACGTCATTTAACATCATCATCGTCACTACCCAGAAATATGGTTTGTTCTTGTTGTTTCGCATTAAAACCGCTTTACTTTCTAACCATTTGACAAATGACAATTTTGACAGTTGAGGCAGGAATGTTTTCGTTTTTATTTTAATACGTGGTTATTTTCTTTTCGATTTTGTTTAATAATTTGTTTATAATTTTAAGTTAAATATTGCAATTCAACGTCCAGATAAATGAGATACCCCACAGCGTCAGAAGATAATGACTTCAAAACAATTTTGTTTGAAATGGAATAATTTTCACAGCAATATTTTGAATGCTTTTGAAAGTCTGCAAAACACAGAAGACCTCACAGATGTTACGTTAACGTCCGAAGGAATAAATGTGAAGGCACACAAGTTCATTTTGTCTGCGTGCAGCCCTTACTTTCGTACAGTCTTTAAGGTGCTTGGTGGCATGAATGTTGTACGACAAGAAATGTAACATGTGTCATATTTGTAGGAAAATCCGTGTTCCCATCCGATAATAATCTTAAAAGACGTTTTATACACAGACCTAATTGCCATTATAAATTTTATGTATCATGGAGAAGTATTGGTGTCTGAAGAACAACTAGCTTCGTTTTTGCAAACTGCCCGGTTGTTACAAGTCTCTGGGTTGAATAATTCGAACGAAGGGTTTTCAAAAAAGTCTCCAAAGAAAACGAAAGCCCAGAAAAATGATTTTCCAGAACAACCAATAAAAAGAATCAAAGTTTCGAATAAGTCAAAATCTAAAGTGATAAATAGTGATATTTTGAATCCAGTCTCGCCAAAAGAAACAAGTGTGGTTAAAGAATCTTCAAATTTAAGTCATGAATCTGATTTGAAAGGAAGTTCCAAAGAAAGTGATGAAGAATATTGTGCAGATGTCAATGAAAATGTCGAGGTTGTGGTAAATGAAAAAACGGATCAACAGAGTTCAATATTGGAAGCTGCCCTGGAAAAACCTGAAAGTATATTGGAACGATCTTTAATGTCACAACCTGTTGCAGGTAACCATAAATAAAAAACTCGAAAAATGTGGCCACTGTAATTTGGCTTTGTATGCTAATTCCATAATTTCTTCTTTTAATTTTCGTTAAAAAGTAAGAACAATCCTAAATGTGTTTTTTTTTTAATTGCACTGCAAATCTGTGTAGTAAAATGGAACAAGTAAAAGCTACTGTCCATTAATTGTGTTGTTCTAAATAAATGTTCTAGTTTCACGTGTTAGTGAAAATTTGTGAAGAGAAAATATTTCGGAAATTTTAATTATAAGGGTCACAAAGTGTAATAAATTTCTACACTTTCACACACGTCCTTTTTTATGTCACCTTTTCACTTTATTTTTCTTGAAATGTTATAAATTACATTTTAAATTGGTATATGTATATTTTTACTAGGAGTATTATAAAACTATAAATTCGGTTATTAACCCTCACCAAAAACCAGGTGACGTCAGGTCAAAATATTGCTAAGTAAATTTAAGTTTAACCATACATGCTCTTTGGCTTGTAATTAAATAGCCTATTTCTGTTTTAAATTTCTTGTGTATTTTTTTTTTATAACTTTGGGTAGGTGCAGTGTAATACTAATGATAACAGTATTGTATTCCCACATTTTCGGGAAAACGGAGCGAACCGTTCCTGATTTAATCAATAAAATAAATTCACTCTTTCATTAATTTTTCTGAGTCACCCTGTATAAGAAATTTAAAAACTTTTAAGGCAGTGATGAATCACAAGTATAGACTTCTCATATTTTGCACACTTTGGATAGGATTTACTCGACAAAATTTTGAGATGACGTCATCAATTTTTTGGGAGGGAATAAACGAATAAATTTTGCTGAACGATTTACCATGATTACGATATCCCTAAAATATTTACAAGATTTCAGAGCATTCGGTTTTGAAGTTTCAAGAAAATATTGTTATTCAGTTTTGAATTTTTTCCAAAAGTTCTTGAAGTCTGGGGTGAAAATTCGACACGGATTCGAACATTACAAGTGCAGGAGTATTTTATTTTATAAAATTTGAAAAAACTTTTTATTATAAATTTTGGAGATGACGTCACCCCATTGGTGGTGGGGATGATTAGCCAAATTTTACTTAGCATTTAACCATCTATAAGATATTCCTAATATAACTACAAAATTTGGCAACAATCGGTCCAGTAGTTTCGAAGATTATTTATCTAATGAAAATGGATACAGACACCAGACAGACAGACGGAAACCGGGGACTACTTTTTTTATAGTCTAGAGGTCATGACACGTCGAGAAAATATGAAAGTTATCTCTTTCAGAAAGTTGATGACGTCGTCTCAATTAAATATAATTTTTTTAAATATGAGTGGCACAATGAGGCTATAAAATTTTATTAATATGCAAATGTAGTGTGTTTTTTCGCTACAACTTAAGATCTAGTAGCCATATAACTTTATAATAGAAAAAAGCGAATTTTTTACATAATTATAATTAGAATTGATTTTTTGGGCAAGAAAAATCACCGTGTCATATTTTTTGTTTTAAATTAAACTCACCTTATACTTTTTTTGGACAAAATACGCGTGAACATCTTCAAGCTCTGAGTATGAAATAAAATTGTGGCGTAGTTCAGTGAGTAAAAAATATACGAATACTGCTTTCTATCGCGATTGCAAACACACCTTGAACGTAACAATATTTTAACAAAAAATCAGTTCGGTTTCAGGCCTAATACATCGACATTTCACGCCCTAAATCATTTTTATGACCACATTTTATCCTGTTTAGAGAAAAAGGAGTACCCAATTGGAATATTCTGTGATTTAACTAAGGCGTTTGATACTATCTGTCATAAGCGTCTTTTAAATAAACTGGAAAATTACGGCATTCGCGGCGTTCCGTTAGAATGGATACAATCGTATCTACTAAAACGAACACAATATGTAGCGTACAAATATTTTGACACAAATACTAATTCAACAAAAAATGCATTTTCAAATATTATGGAAGTAAGTCTTGGAGTCCCTCAAGGGTCCATATTAGGGCCAACATTATTTATATGCTATATCAATGATTTAAACCACAATCTTGAAAGTAGTGTAAATACTACACTTTATGCTGACGATGCCACAATAATCATTTCTGACAGACTCTCTCACGAACTGCAACTTAAATGTGACAATACCACTAAAAATATGTCCAACTATTTTAACTCCAATAGCCTGTATTTAAATGAAACAAAAACCAAATATCTCAGATTCCATCAACATAATGTAAAAGCTGACATAAATGACGTAAGAATAATGCTTAATAATACGATTTTAGATAAAACAAATACTGTAAAATTCTTAGGACTAACTTTAGATGATAAACTGAATTGGACATTACATTGCAATCGACTTATCGTTCAGCTTTCAAAAGTATGCTGTTTGATTAGAAATGTTAGGTCTTTGTTGGATTTGAATCACTTGTTAATGATTTACTATGGACAAGTAGAGTCCCGTTTAAGATATGGCATCTGTTTTTGGGGTATGTCTCCATCTGCACAAGATGTCTCTGTTATACAAAAAAGAATTTTGCGTACAATTTTAAATGTTTCTCAAAGGCACTCATGCCGCGAACTTTTCAAAAAATATAATTTAATGACTGTACCGTCCTTGTATGTTTTTGAATGTTGTATGTACGTACATAAAAATAAAACAAAATTTGTTAAAAATAGTGAAGTCCACGACAAAAACACTAGACAAAAGAACTTATTCCACGTTCCTACAAAAAAATTGAACGTTACAAAAAATTCACTTTGTTCTTTAGGACTTGACTTGTATAATAAATTACCTAACGAAATAAAAAATCTTTTATTTATTGACGCCTTTAGGCGCAGATTGAGAGACTATCTTGTTACTAGATGTTTATACTGTGTAAAAGATTTTGTGTAGCATATGTCTGTATATATTTATCTAATTGTCTTTCATGTTCTGACGATTTTCCACACTGTATGTAGTCTATGGAAATAAAGTATTATTATTATATTATTATTAGTAATCTCACATCGTGTTTTAGGAAAATCGCCGTCATCGCTTCCGTTTGCCCAAGATCAATTAAACATACTTCAAGGAGTGCCTGATGTTGCCAAATCCATTTTCGTGGGTCGAAAGCCCCCAGAAGGAGATTATGATAAACGAATAATAAAATCGACATCGTCCGGGTCATCCAGCCCATCAACTTTTGACCGTCCATCTGAGTTTCTTCACCAGACAATAAAAATCGAGGAAGATTCCTATGACAGTGTGGAACCATTACCTGATGATATTATTCAACGAGAGGGCAACATTCACATTTCAAGAGCTGTCGAAGTACAACCTCATCACAGTTCACAGTGTGGTAACTGTCCTCATTGTGGTAAAGTTTATTCTAATCAATCATCGTTAAAGTATCATGTTCGACTGGTGCATTCAGATTTAACGAATATGTATTGTTGTCATTTATGTCCGGAAGCTTTTAATTATAGGGAGGGTTATAAAAAGCACATGGTTGAAGTCCACTGTATAAGGAATTAACGTGCCTTAGGCGCTGTTAGTATTTTTTGTAATTTTATATATTTAATAAAAATGGTTTTCTGAATGTTGTTCCAAGCTGTTCAATTGACCTATTCTTAAGTAATAAGTAAAAATAGTTGCAAAAATAGACTATATTCAGAGTAGAAACTTATATAGTGATTTTATGTACAACTTTCAAACATAACTCAACAATTCTTTACAAGGGACGTTCAGGTCCAATTAAATAAATGGAAGCTCAGCTATCGAGAGGATCGGCTATAATCAGCTCGTCGGCTTCTGAGGTACTAATAGTAATCATCATTTTTTCTTCACTGGAGCTGTCTGATGAGGCGGACTGGGTGGATGTGGCAGCCTCCTGCAAAAAAACAACGAAATAAGTATTTGACTGCTGGAGAAAGCAATCTTTAGGTAAAATAATGGTGTAAAGATTACTGTGACATGACTGACCATAACAAGGTGAAACTGCATTAGTATAATTTAAGTTAATTGTTTTAACTACCTGTGCATAATTAACTTGAGTGATTTCATATTTAATATTGTTTTTATTGTCTGTTATCCACATGGGTTTTGCTTGATCGTCTCCTTCTCCGTCCCATTCATCTTTATCTTCAGTGACTTCATCAATGTCGTCCCCGTTTATTCGCTGTAAGACACGTTAAAACAAAATTAAATTTAGAATAACTAAAATAAAAAAAAGAATATTTTGTAAAAACTACCAATCACAACACCCCGAAAACACCCGGGACAATAAGCTGACTTAAGCAAAGGTCGTCACGTTCCACCAACAATGTCGAGCCAGTTAACTAAAAGACCAACTCCTAATTGGATCATTTTCAGTATTCATCAAAAAAGGGGAGCGTGAGTTAAACATTTTTGTTTTATCTTTCCGTATTTCTAGGTTGTTTAAACGTCTAGACTCTATTGAATTTTCTTTATGAAATTAATGCTTTTACGGGAAAAATGTCCTCTCAGCACTAATAACAAGCTTAAGGGTCCCCAGTAGCAGACCGAAAAATGAGCTAAATAGATTTTTATTTTATGGCCGTAATTTCAACATTGAAAAAAAGATCGACATTTCAATTGATAGATTATGTCTAAATCTCTGGGGAACACACAATATTTTTTAAAATAAGTGATTGTTTAGTGTTTAATTAATCGTTCATTCTTCGAAGGAATTTGCATTTTTAGACGAGGAGAAAGCATTTTTCGCTTCAGCTTTTATATCAGTGCAAAGACAACATTGAGCTCTATGGGGAAGACCCGGTCATTTTTGTTTAAAATTTATATTTATCAAAATATTTGCGTTTTAAAAAAATACTGACTAATGAAATCAAATTGAAACTAGGCAACTCTATTTACAAAGGATTCGTTTCCATAAATGGTTGAGTTTGACACAGCAGGGAGCTTTGCCGACCGACCCTTTCAGGTAATCCGTCCAGGTACTTTCATAAACCGTCATAAACAACGGGCGGAATTGTGTTTCATACGCTAGATCTAGTGCTGTCGCGGCGATACTTTGATTACAAATATATTTTTATTTTGGACTATATCAACATAATATAACATTTCAAGATCACAAATCTGTGGTCCTGTGTTTGAAAAATTAAAAGGGGCATCAAGTATTATTTTTTTAAGTAATATAGTAATATAGAAGTAGTTTTTTAACAAGCTGTAAACACTCCTAGCGACGCACTGGCTACGACCTTGTGGACCAGATCAAAGCGTCCCCGCTACTCGCCGTAAAACACACCTTGCTTCAACTGGGGAATTGCATCCGTAAGATAAATTTCCGCTTACTGGTCATAAAACTCATAAATACTTTTAGCTTACGAACATTGTTGAAACTCTTTTACAAGTCGACTTCTTTCATTGCTAACATAATTTGAATTAAAAGTATGCAAATTTTTATAATTTTATACATTCTACTAAAACATTTTCTTACAAAAAATTATTCCAGTAGTTTTTACTAATCTGTCATTCTATATATAAATCAATACACAAAACTGGCAAGATTTAGATTCTCATCACTTCACTAACCACTTATTTACCTGAACAATCATATTTATTTAAATTTAATTTTTTGATACTCTTTTCCGCACCACCTATGAGGTAGAGTATTATAGGCACGTTTTTTACGTGATATCTCCAGTAAACCTATTCCAATATTACTATTTATTCCTGTGCGTGTTTATAGTAGAAAGGGAAAATATTTATATGAACTACACATGACGCGAATGCAAATAAAAAATTTTAATTGTACAATCTTTTCTTTACAATTTGTCTAATGGGTTGATTTGTTTAATAACGAGAATCTACTCTCTCCAGAAGTAAGGCATAAAATAAAATTTTTCTCTCTATCTATTTCGCTCTATCATATTATTTCCCCAAAATTTATCATCCCATTGAATTAAGCATTATTTAAATTGGACATTTTATATATTTCTAAGATAGCGTTTTTGTTTATGAAGCCGTCTGGCGATGCCGCTAAAAATGTACAAACCGCATTGTCTTACTGTCAGTTTGGTGTTACTGCAAAATGCTTCAGTTGCTCTTGCTTCATTTTCTATGCAAAGATTTTGGGAGAGTACATGCTGAACTAGATTTGCAGGGATGTACAATGTTTTTCACAGTACAGTAGGATTAGCCGTGTTACTTGTTCTCTCATTTTGCAAATTTTACCAAAATAACGTTCGATTAGTCTAAAGGATTTTTCTGTGCACCATTCTGGATTATTGCGCTCGCAAATTGTGTTTTGTTCGATTAAAAAGACATCAAGGTTTGAAAGTTTTTTGAGAAATACTTTTTGCGCTGTGACATATCAGGTATTTCAACTGCCTCGTTATTAGATACATCGTCGCCCGAGAACTTGTATGATCCAGAGACCGGAGCGCGCTCAGGCCAATGTCGACTCTATAAGCCTCCAGAAATTCTGCGGGAAATAGTTATTATTTAGATGCTTTTGTTTACACACGTCTCACATGTTTCACTCGACTTTGACACTCAACTATTTTTTTTGTTTAACTAAGAATTAATACTTTCACTGCGTTTGATACTAACGTCCTAAATTAGCAATACTAGTGGAACAGTAATCAAGCAATGGATTTTTTTGGGAAAGTACAGTTAATTTTTATGTTTTAGCAGCAATGTGTTCTATTTTCTATTAATTTTTAGGTACATATTTTTAGTCACAATTTTGGTAGTTATTTTTTACTTTTATTTTTAGCAATAACAAATAGTCCAAACATGAAAAAATAAAAAAAAAAATAAAATCGGAAAATCTAAAATTTAGAAATCGAGAAATTGAACAATCGTATAATTGAAAACTCGAAACATCGAAAAACTGGAAAATCGAAAAATTAAAAAAAAAAAATGGAAAATCAGAAATATAATGAATTCCGAAAATTGAAAAACTGAAATATGCATAGAAGAACTAAAAACTGGAGAAATCGAAAAATCTAGAATTTTAAAAATTGAAAAATTAAAATATCGAAAAGTTGAAAAATTGCGAAATCGTATCAGTGAAACATCGGACAATTGAGAAATCGAAAAATAAGAAAATGGAGAAATCGAAAATTTGAAGAATGGAAAAATTGAAAATGTCAAAAATTAAAACACTGAAAAATTGAAACATCAAAAGTTGAAAAATCGAAAAACCGAAAAGTCGAAAAATCTCAATAATTATCTCAGGATTATGCTACTAAAAAATTGATAACATCATCTCAAAATTTTGCTGAATAAATTCTACTAAAAATGTGCAAAATATGATGAGTTTGTAATTGTAATTTATCATTGCATTCATATTTTTTTAGATTTGCTTATATACCTAGATGGCTCAAAAAATTAATGAATGAGTCAATTTATTCTATTGATTAAATCAGTCTCGACTCACTCCATTTTCCCATAAATTTTTGGAATACTGTTATTTTTAGTCTAATCCACATTGATTTACGTGTCGTTGCAAAATGTTGATGATTTCATCACAAAATTGTGTACCTAAAGTAAAAATTTAACTCGAAAATACTGGATATGTTTCATTGTATTTTAGGGGCGAGGGAAGTTCTGTCGAAACAACTTTCCACCAATTTTTCTTGCTGTTATATTTGAACATAAACAGTTTATTTTATATCTTTTTAAAACATTATAAAGAAAATAAAAAGTTGTGTTAGACTGAACCTTGTGGGTTTCTCAATCTATTTTCCGCATTTTAAACTTTCAACTCAATTTCTCTCAAAATAGATAGAAATGGATTTCGATGGTTATTTCCCTGTACCCTTCATTCCAAAATAAATAAGCTTATCTGGTGTTGTTTACCGATTTGCATTTTATGACGGATTCCCTACAGTGACCATAATCTCTCCTCTCTTGGGTCGCTACCTGCCGTGCATCCGTACTTTGGGTTGCATAGTTACAAAAAATAATTCTTCTCACTGAAACCGATTTTGCGGCCGACGACTGGGGACCCTTAAGTTTGCGTGTTTATATTAAACATCGAAATGAGTAGAAATGAGTTTGATTTAAATGAGTTTGTCTCCTCAAAACAGAGGGCTAAAATTATTAATTAAACCACCATCGAACAAAATGTTTTGAATATTATAATTCTTATTCCATCATTATTAAATAAAAACGTGCGTATTCTCACATTTTCGAGAAAATTGGGTGATATGTTCTTAATTTGAACAAAAAAATTGTGATAACGTCATCAACTTCGATAACATTTGAAAAAAAAAAGAAACGGTCAAGTTTGGCATAACACGTGCTACCGCAGATCGGCGTTCTTCCAAATGACTAACAGCTCCATGAAACGTTATATCCCGTACTGGTAGTAAAATGTTATTATACTTTGCAATGTTTTTGCGAAAATTTGGACGTTTAGGGAAAAAACTCAAAGCGGATTCGTACACCACAAGTGTAGGTGTATATTATTGAATAACATTTAAATCATTTTAAAATAGAAATCTTTGAGATGTCAAGTTGTTAATGCGGATAATTAGCTAAATTTTGGTAAGCGTTTAACCATCTACATGATATTCCTAAAATACATACAAAATTGAACAACAATCGGTCCAGTAGTTTCGAAGATTACGTGTCCAATAAAAATCGACACAGACGCCACTTTTTTCGTACTCTAGGGGTCATGAAACGTCGACAAAAACGTGAAACTGGCAAGTCGCCCGATGAACTCGATTGCTATACTTCCTTAGCTTACGTAACTATTTTAACAATAAACTGTAACATCAACGAATTACTTTACAATGGTGACAGCAGCGACATTTTTTTTAATGTCTGTTGAAGCATGGTCCCCTTAATCTCAATGCTCAAAATATGTACACCCGTCTCAATTTGTAACTGTCAATTATTAAAATACACAAAGAAGACATCCTATTACAGACAGTGAATACTAAAAAATACAGATAAATAATAAAATTTGACTTTCCGAATCTGTAGTTTCATAGCTGACTTGCAAAATGTTATGTATTATAATTTAATTTTTTTAAGGTATAAAAATTTGTTATTATGTAAAGTTGAAGTAAGATTTACTTTGCAAAATTTTGAGATGACGTCAAATTGTTGGAGGGGAAGATGACACGAATTTTGATTAGTGTTTTACCATCTACAGTGGCGGTCAGAAAATCTTGGACGTCA